CTTGATAACTCGGAAGGAATGTACCGCGCTTCCCATTGTTGCGGGCACTTCAGGTCATGCAGGCCTAAACCCTAAACCCTAAACCCTAAACCCTAAGCCCTAAACCCTAAGCCCTAAGCCCTAAACCTGTTGTTGCAAGACAGGAGCCCGAGAGCCTACTTGAAGATGCAGAGGACAAGAAATGCTTTTCGACCTCGGCTTGTGTGTCGGTTTAGGGTTTAGGGTTTAGGCTTTAGGCTTTAGGGTTTAGGGATTCTCTTCAGAACTTAATATTAGAGTATATTATAGTTTCTTATAGTATTATAGTCTATTTCAGGGTTCAGGGTTTCGTGGTTTAGGGGTTTAAGGGTTTAGGGTTTAGGTGTAGACACTGGGTTCGGGCGCTGGAGTTCTTAATGTGTTGTGGCTTTGGGGTTTTAGGATTGAGGGTTGGAGCTCTGGGCTTAGGATTGCGAAACTTTCGGGGCGTTCAGGGTTGTCTTGGTGTTTGGAATTTGATATCAGGGCCTAAATAATTACCCATATTATTTTGGGGGTTCCTTCATATACTTATATAATTATGGGCCCCAAAACCCTATTCTAATTATTAAGCCCCTTTATTAGCTGGTTTGCGGGGTTTCCTTATTGAGACGGAGGAGTAAGAACAAGGGTATGCGTAAGGCCTCAAATCTAAGCCCTTTCAGGGCGCTGGCGACTGTTAGTATGAAGAGATTTTAAGGTTTTTGGATTCCCCTAAACCCTAAACCCCAAACCCTAAACCCTAAACCCTATTCGATGCCAAGGTTCAACTTCCGAAACTCCTGCGCTGAGGGAGTGGCTTCGAAACCTTGGGGTGCCGGAGTCTTGTCTATTCTTGATGGCTTTTGGTTTGAGGGTTTAAAGGGTTTTTGCTTTCCGTTTCCGGTCATTAGTTAAGAACTGGCTGTGTTCCGTTCTTGTACCTATCGGGACCTATCGGACATAATGCTGATTTCATTCATGCGGATGGGAAAATCTAATCAGAAAGCCAACCCTAAACCCTAAACCCTAAAGCCATGTGGCTTCAACCGCAGTCGAGGAGCATGTCTACCGGAGCGACGACCACTGCACTTGGGATGGGATCAAATGCTTCGGGAAGCCTGCGAGCGACAGGTGTGGTCGGGGCCCGTAACGGAACCTTCTTCGCGATGCGCACAATGTACCCTAAACCCTAAACCCTGTACTACTTGCTAGTAGCAAGAGATACACACAGGCAGTGAGTGCTCGGGCTTGCGTAGGTAGGCATAGCTATGGCCAGCTCACATCCCAAACCGTAAACCTAAACCTCTCAATTCAACCCGAACCTCTACAGCCCGAAATCTTAAATCGCATTCCAGTCGAAGGAGCCCGCCCATAAAGATCCTGTTAAAGTGCACTAAAAAGGACCCCTTTTGTGGATGACCCATATTCAGGTGTTTTGTGAAAATGATCAACATGGCAGCAGAGAGCGAGTCGAACAGCAACAGTCCTATCTCCTCCTATGGTTTGCACGGTCAACTGGGGCCGGTGCCAGTGAAGTCTGTGCAGCTGTGCTGCACGTGTAGGTGGGGCTACAGTGGCTACAGTGTCTATCGCTTTGTGTAGGCTTACTTTTACTTCTGCTTCATTCAATTAGAGCAGGTAATATTGCTAGCGTTTGGTGGAGCAGTGCTTACTAACAAGCAGTTGCAGTAGTGCTGGCACTATCAGCAGTCATCCCAAAAAGCGTTGTCGTCTCGTTTGATGTTACCAGCAAAAAATGGCAGTATTACACAAGGCCTTAAGGACGAAATGGCCCTTAAAAGTAGGGGCCCGATACCCTTATACTATGAACCCCTATATGGTGTATGAACCTTAAACTCTTTAGGGTTCATTTCGTCCTAAAGGGGCATGGGCATCACGACTGCTCGACAGCTCCTCGCTTCTTGCTTAATTAACAGACCTCGTCCCTAACCCAAGATGCCTGTCTACTTTGTCCAAGAGGCGCAGCATGTCTGAGGGTTTGCCAGGGTTTAGGGTTTAGGGTTTAGGAACCCTAAACCCTAAACCCTAAACCCCAAATACAGGATTCCGTAGCTCGTTTCTTTACGCCCAAAGCCCTTAAACACTAATAACAGAAGTCTCAGGACAAGGATACAAATGCATGGGAGCGGACATCTCAATGGAGATTTGGCGTCCTTTGCTGACTTGGGGCAGCTGGAAACTTTAAATTTGCAGGCCGCTGTCTCAGACATCAGTTCCTAGGACATTTTCAGGTGGGTAGAAGGTTCATATACCTTATAGAAGCCCTATAGAAGCCTAAACCCTAAACCCTAAACCCTAAACCCTGAAGCCCTTTAACAGTGTGTCGGTTTTTTTCGGTACATGCAGAGCAGGCTGTGGGTTCAGGGTTCAGGGTTTGTCAGTGCGTTTAATGTTATACCCCAAATTTTGTTTAGGGTTTAGGGTTTAGGGTTTAGGGTCCCAAATGCTCCAAAAAGCCTACACGCCATATAAAGTCTATCTCGGTCATAAGATACAGAATGCAGGCAGCCAAGTCGAACCCCAGAAAACACTAATCCCTACAGTAACCCTAAAATCTAAAACCTAAGCCCTGAACCCTGAAGGATACCAACATTTCCGGCGATCTCCGAAGTCTGCAGAACCTTACGCGTCTCAGGACACGGGTTGGGTTTGTTGTTTTGGGTTTCGGGTTCAGGGGTTTAGGGTTTTCTGGGGTTCGACTTAGATCCGGTTAAACCCTAAACCCTAAACCTTGCTGTTCAGGGTTTCGGGGGTACTGTTTAGGGTGTCCATGTCTGTGGTCTAATCTGGGATTTAGATTAAAAGGCTTAGTGCTTGGGGCGGAGGTCACTGAATCTTGGAAAGCTGGCCGTTGGGGGCAGTCTGGAGAATCTGGCAAAGATGAGGGAGATGATTATTCTTTCGATGCAAAACAGCCACGTCTCCGGCAGTCTCCGGCACCTGCGAAACCTCACCAAACTGAAGGCGCTGTTCCCTAAACCCTAAACCCTAAACCCTAAACCCTAAACCCTAAACCCTAAACCCAAACTGAAGGCGCTGTTCCTCGAGAAGACGAGGGTCACCGGCACCCTCCAGGGCATCGAAGGCATGAGCATGTTGTTTCAATTGCAAATCCAGAATACCAAGGTGACTCGGCAAGTTAACCCTAAACCCTAAACCCTAAACCCTAAACCCTAAACCCTAAACCCTAAACCCTAAACCCTAAACCCTAAACCCTACTACTTAGATAGCCAATAGGAGAACTTTAAACTTTTGGCCTTCTCTAATTAGGTAGAGAGATTAGTTCTTCTTAAGAACTATTAAATTAATGACTGAGCCTGAAAGAATGCCAGTGTTAGTCCTTAGAGCTCTCTATTGTATTTAGACTTCAGGACCACCCCAAACCCGAATCTAAATCTAAGGTCCTTATATGAAAGCCAAGGGACCCCTGTTTCGTAACATCTCATCCAACACCCAACATGTGCTTTTGGGGTTTAGATGTATAGGATTTATGGCTTGGGGGTTGTAGCTTTCAGGTGCAGGGGGTGGGGTGGTTTAGGGTCGAGGTTTTGGTTTAGGGCCAGGGTTTGTGTACCTCGCCACCCAATATTGGCACCCGCCCAGGTGGATGGAAACTTGGCGTCCTTGCATGAACTATCCAGGATGCTCAAGATGGACATATCGGGGACCAATGTGAATGGGGACCTTTCTCACTTGAAGCTTGGCCAAGAGGGTTCTTGCAAGACCCCCATTGAACCCGAATCCCTAACCCCACTAACATGCCGTTGCTTGCTCGACGTGTTGGTACCCAATGGGTCGGAGTGGCTAGTAATGGTAGTCCCTCATAGTCCCCAATACACTTACACTGTATGATCTGCACCGAACTCCTACTGCAAGCTACGAGGCCCCCCCATATTCGTTCAGGCGGTCGGGCTTGGGTGTAGAGTTTGCATACTAGAAGGACTTCAAAGCAAAAGCATGCATCTCGTTGGACGGTGCACCCTGAACACAGAACCCCAACGGCTAAATCCTACAACAGGCCACACAACAAACCTGTAAGCCAACCCCCTCCCACCCCGTTCCGCGAAAACAACGACAGACATTTATACCCCAGGAAGAGCATGACGAGATTGACGCACCTGAATGCTATCGGGGCTCGTCTTTCCGGTAACATCGATTCCCTCCAGGCTGCCTTTAGGGTTTAGGGAATCCCTGAACTGGCGTGAATTTTCCCCCGCTAGGGCTTTCAAAAGGCATCTAGTAAGGTGCATAGTCTAATGTTTGTTCAGGGGTGTTATGGTTTTTATCAAGAGTTTACATAGTTTCACAGAGGTTACGGCTACTATGACGGCTACCAGGAGGGTTGCTATGAACGCTAGTGGAGAGGTATGAGGCTAGGGTCGAGTTTAGCATGTAGCCACCACGAGTGCACCTCTAACATGCCGCTGTTTGTCCTGAACACGCGAAGGCGAAGAAGCCTCGACACCGAACCTTCGTAGAGCCTACGCCTACGCAGATGCAGGGTTAGGGTTTAGGGTTTAGAGTTTAGGGTTTAGGGTTTAGGGTTTAGGGTTTAGGGTTTAGGGCAGCAGCAGGAGTAGTACTGGAAGTAGTGGTAGCGCTAGTGCTGTTGCTGCCGCTGGTGCTACTGCCAGTGCGACTGCTACTTTGCGACTGGTGGTGGCGGTGGTGGTGGTAGCGGTGGCGGTAGTGGTAGTGGAAATGGTAGTGG